TTTATTTAAATATTTATAACTTGAAAGTAGGTATCTAAGTATAATTTTTAAACATTTAAAATAATTGTATAATTCATTCCAATAAGATTTAAATATTCATTCAAATGAAAATCAATCACTATTTGGCATTTACTGATCATAATTATTATTACTATTTAGTATTCACTATTATTATTATTATTATTTAACTAATAAATTATAGTATAACAATAGACCATTAAAAGTTTTCGAATATTATTATACTATGATTTTTCACACACTGGCTATAATTCAATGGARATCAGTAGGTGAATACCCTGAAAGTCACATCTATAATATATATTTTAAAACGACAAATTTTCACTCGATATTTCATAAATCATACGTTTATGTTAGACATTTTTTTCCTAAATATCTCGTCAACTTAAAAAAAAAATATTCATATTTAAAAATATAGTACCTATTATTTTTACTTTATAAAATTTGGTGGAATGCTATTAGTATATAGAGTTTCTAGATTTTAAAATAACATAAAGCTATGATTTATCTAAGATCTATAGTTAACATTTGGTTTCTTTGGGTAAGTGACTATTAGTATATTTATTTGTTCATACGTAATTTTATAATTCCAAGGTACATTTCAGCGAATAACAGTGTTTTGTAATTTATATGTATATAATTATTATGAATCACCTACAATAGAAATTATATGATTGTTTCGATTATCATAAAAATTCAAATTTCTAAATATTTTGTTTTAATTTGCTAGGTATTCTAAAACCCACTAAAAGCGATTGTTTGACATCCTCTCAGGTTAATCAACATAACGTTTGAGCTTATTGTTACTTATATAATAGCTGTATTCACGAAAAAATCATATCATAATATATAGTGGGAATATATATATATATATATATATAAATAATCATATATTATGCTTGCAATTAAAACAAAATATGTACTTTGTGAGGTTTAATTACTTCGGCCTCGTATCCTTCACGTATGTTGTACGTCAAGTCATGTTGTATGTCATTTGCAAACTCCTGTTGATACTCGGGGTAAAGCCGCAAAACTTCTACCAACCCAAGCACATTAATGCACTTAAGGTCGCAATAAGTTAGAGCTTTGACATCACAACTAGACTTCACTACGGTGTCACCTCCTGCTCCGCCGCCGGTGGTCCCTCCACCGGTGACAACGCCTGTGTTACCTGAGCCGCTACCTTGACCCAGCCACATACTAATATCACATCCAACTAAATCGCCTTTGCCTGTAAACACAATATTTTTTCTGAAGTAAATACGCGATTGYGACAATCTTTGGTGCCTGAAATAGAGTCTCGTAAACATATGAGACAAGTTAAATGTAAGTGGGTTATTGATTTCAAACAGGACTACGGTTACCGCCGTGGTATCAAAATATATAGCATAAATCATTGTTACTCGTTGGAAAATACTGTAATTAATGAGCCAATTCCTGCCAATTGTAGACAACCTACACCAATAGAAGWAGTTATCTTCTAAAAAATATATAAATATATATATTTTATATCTACGCTCGGATTACCTAAAATGGCAACGACCATGCCGTTCTGGACGACTTCCATKGACCCGTTGCACAGGTAATAAATGGACGTGAGCGCGTCGCCTTTGTGGATGAGATATTCACCAGGTGCGCAAAAGTTGCTGCGGATGTGCAACGATAACAGTTTCAGGCAGCCTTGTGACGCGGACTCGAAAATGGGCAGCTGCAGTATCTCCCGGTGCAGGTGCATRGAAACGTCACCCCTAAGCTCCTCCGGAAACTCTTTCAGCGTCTGGAACAAAAACTATCGATTAAAATGGGCGAAACGGCTACCGCAGCGGTTCGGGTGGGAGGGAAGACGGGGCGTGCCTACGAATGGCCACCCGAAATTACCTCGTGAATATCGATACCGTGGTTCAGTGACCACATGGTCTGAAAGTAGTCTTGCATCCTGTGCTTGAGCTCACTGGGCACCTGATGCAGTGTCAGGAAGTCCTTAAGGTCCCGCCACTTGCTCTGGTATAACGACCTCCGGGAGTACATTCGCTGGATGATGGCTGTCACGTTACCAAACACCACAGCGTGCATAAGCGCTACAATAGTATAACACAGTTGATAATAGCTAGGTATAAGTAAACTCGAAGGTGCGTAAGTTAATGAGAATAAATTGTCTTGAGTTATTATAGTTACGAGGTTAATGCGACATTATAATAATATTAATGTATTATTTTTCACCCTCAATTGATAAGTATAAAGAAGAAGAATTACGTGGCATGTTTGCAGGGTACTATGCTGAATTATTATAATAATATATAGATATCTATTTTATTTAAAATCATCACGTGCACTGCGTGACATCAAGCCAAACAAATATTTAACCAATAAATACTTTTAACAAAATTTTTATTACTGGTTAAATGGATACGTATTAAACACGATTTTAATGTATAACTTTTTCAAAAACAAAAACAAATAATTCGAAGAAGGCTGTACAAAAGTTCGCTCTTTAGCAATCATCGATGTCTCAAATATAAAGAATGATATTTCAAACGCCATAACACTTGATTGGTTTTTGCCATCTCGAAAACTTTAATAGCGCGTATTTGTTTTTTTTCTCTTTGAACTTTAACCATTTAAAAATTTGAGTGTAATTATTAGTTTTAGGTATGACAAATATCGATTAAACCAGTTATAGGGTATAATTCAGTATATTACTAAAATCTACTTTATTGTTTGTTATTACCACAGCCACGGGGGAGAAAACAATAACATAACCTTGCTCTCCACGAATACAGCCATGATAAGACGACGACAAATTACCCTCAGGGCAAATAAATTATTCTCTGGGGCTTACCTCCAATCAGCATCGTGATGATACTGAATATTTTCTCCGCACCAGTAGTCGCCGACACATTACCAAACCCAACGCTTGTCAGACTGGAACACGTGAAATACAACGAAGTTATGTACGCCTCAGAGTGTGTCACGTTGCCCACGTCCTTGTGCAGACGTTCGGCGAGTGTGTTCATCCATCCTGTGATCACAGATTTATATGTAGTAAGTAAGTTAGATATTTAATAATAATATTCAATATTTCTAATAATTATAATTACGTATTTTTATTTATATGGATATCATTTCATGTAAGGTTTTATTTTTAAACTGTTGATGATATACAAACCTGYAGCCAGACCAAATTTTCAGGTAGGACAAAAGAAATCTTAGGGGGCATTATTATATAAAAACAATATTAATTTATAATATTTTAAATAATTTTAGAGTGAGCAATGATTGTGTTTAWGGAGTGGAACCCCCTCTTTCCCCCCTGTAGTTATGGACCTGATGATACAGAACGTCAAACAACCACATAACGACCACAAAAATACAGTTTATTATTGTGTTTGTGAATATTTATGTTACTACCAGATCGAAAAGGGTTAGAATTGAGACTTTAATACATATCGATAAAAAAAAAACTTTCAATTTTCGGTACAACAAATCGATAAAGCAAAACATGTTTTCCCTTTTATAAATACAATTTGGGTACTTATGGGTTAATTCCTTTTTAATATAAATTATAATTTACTCTCCATGGGATTTAAATGTAGTCATACAATATTGTGATTGGATGAATTCCATTAAAATGATTAATAATATTTGGTAATGTTTACTAAAGAATTGTTGGTTMTATGTAGGAAGATACCTACATTATTATTATTTAGAGTCACTCGGGATCGTAATTTTTTATTACAGTAAAGATATAAGTTTTTTGTTTTTGATGTTTTAAAGTTTTAAATGTAATAAATGACTTTAAGTGCTTATGTCAAATACAAAAGTATGTTGAAAAAGTTTATTATATTTATTTTTGTTGGATATTAAACAAACATCAGTCAATACATATGATTGTAAAACTTAAATACGAGATCAGAAAGTCGTGCTTAAAAGAACCAAACTATAATCCGATAGAACGTAAATGCATTAACGAAGTCATGATTATTATGATCGTACCAAGTCAATACATACTCGTGAAAAAGACGGATATTTGTATATTTTGATAAACTCAATAGATACCAATTCGTTTAAATCTGAGCATAAATGCGGTGATTATATGAAAAAAAAAATCAGATGTGTTATTTTTTTAAATATCGATTATTTGTTACGGAAAACCGATGTATGGTTATCGACCTAACCTAATACCCACGACTAATAATTTGATTGTCCACCAAGGAATCGTTTTTTATATGTCTTGCTGCATTATTTTTCAGTTATTAAAATATATACGCTTAATATACATGTGTTTAATGTAATACAATATTATTTTTAAGTAGTCGAATGCTATTGTAGACTTGATGATATTACAGTATACCTGAGTAATCATATATCCCAGTATATCATAGTTGTTAGGCACGTAGATTTTACAGAGATAAATAATGAAATATACAGTAAAACATTACAGCCGAGATCTGCTCTTTCAGTAAATTTAATGGATTACATAAAAGCGTATAGTGAATTTAAACATTATATAATAATAACGAAACAATACATGTTATATAAAATATGAATTCCAAATAATACGGTCTTTGTTTACCGTCGATATAATATTATATCGTAAACAGAGAAAAAAATCGTACTATTTTTCCGTAATTTTATGTTTAAGTATTATTCGTTCGATACTGGGTGCGTGCATAGTATACTATATCAGCTGTTCCTGTGTTTTATATTGCGTTCGTATTATTATTGTGTGTACCACACATGCGTTGTTTGCGCAAAAATAAATAATTATTAAGTAACATGATGAATCACATGATTAAAAATGCCAACACACCGACCCTCCACTGGTTAGAGCATTCGGCCACACACACACACACACACTCACATACCCGCACACCCAGACATCAGCTACCGTGTTAGAGGGTTTTATTACAGGCCCAGAGCATCGTAGTAGAATTTCCGAGCGCAGATGAGCCACGCTACGCCCGCTTGTGATATATATTATATTTAAATTACACAGGACCTGGTCGTAATTACAAACGTACAACTTAAAATTGGATTTATTAGTTTCGAACGGCTCTTTTATCATATCGTCGAAAATATAATATAAAAACAACGAAAACCCGCAGCTTGCCCACGCGGTGTTACTAACTTGCAATTATTATTTTGAGAGGGATTTGTAATTTTTATTTTTGATCTATACAAATATTTCRTTTTRTAGGAAAAATTAAGAGACATCTATGAATAATATTTGTTGTTAGTTTAGAAATCGCGACAGCAAAAACCATATGAAAAGTCGAAAAATAGGCCAAATCCGAGAGACGTGTATCTATCCCGAAAACATATTTATGTTAATAMTATAATAGTACTATAATTGGGAGTTTATAATTAATTAATTAATATTATGATCATGCAATATAATATGTCAAACGTCCACCGTGTTATTACCAAACAGTTATAGGTTTTTTTGACTATTGTTT